ACTTCTTTCAGCTCATACGCCCATTAACCTAGGTTTTCAGAACAGTTATCCCATGCTTTATTGCAAGATTGATTAGATGCCACTCAGACAGCTCTGCCGTGTGATCCTCTACTCACCTTCTTTTATACAAAGACACCATGTAAGGAAAATACATGCAATGCTCCACCATTATTCAAATTGCAGGCATCTAAATCCTGTTCGTTTTATAGAAGCTATTGACAGTGCAGCTCTTGTGCTCCTGGCATAATTGCTAATACAGCCCTCAGCTAGGTAACAGGCAGGTGTCCCTGGTTAACAAGTAGGGCACAATAGCTTCCAGGTTGCTACATGTCATGAAACATTTAAACTAAGCTTCATATACAAGAGACGTAGAACAGGTGTGACACACCAGATTACTAATAAGAGACTGACATGGATCAAGGTTACAAAAGCATGGATCATGGCAGATGGCAGTACACATTGATTCTTGTGGCTGCTGTAAAGTAGTAAAGTCTAGAAATAATTCTCAATTCCCCCCCCACACACACACACACTTCTGTCTTATTTCAAAGAGTTTCTCAAACAGTGTGGAAGAGCCACATTTGAACATTTGCTCAAAGCCTTCCTAATCATCTTTTAAAAAAATGTGTCAGTGTGTATGAACTTCCCTATACCCCAGGGCACATTACTGTGGAGGAAGAATAGGAAAGTATACTGCACACTTAATTGTTTCTGTAGGCTGAGCTCACAGCAGACACCAGAGGCTCTTTGCATCCTCCATCCCCCCCTCCCCATAAGCTCCGTGTGCATCCCCTTTAATGCCCCCTGTGACATTCTATCGTTTGGGGGAGCGTCCTGGAACCCCATATTCCTCATTTTTATATGATCCTGATCTTCCATATAAAGCATGCATTGTAATGCATCAGGGGAAAGTTTATGATCTGCTGAAAGTCATTTCTCTATCCATATTTTTATATATATAAAATATATATATATATATAATCATTAATGCATATGAAGTTATGAGAATTGTGTTGTATGGTGGTCACTAAAACATGCTGTAAGTTGGGGAATCAGCCAGATATTAGCTTCCCAGAGGCAACAGCAAGGAAAGTAACCAACACCTGGGCAGGATATCAATCAACACATCAACAACCATTGTCCAGCAAGGTAGCTACAATGCAATGACTCACCTGCATGAGTCCACACCAGGGGAATTGCTCAACCTTGCTGGAAGACTCAGCATTGCCCCAGACATGCCTGGACTTGTGTTTTCCAAGCACATGGACTGAGGGTATAAAACAGAGTAGCCATATGGTTGGCCCCTTCTCCTGCCCCCACCTATGCTGCAAGCAATTAAGACACTCAGAAGAAAAGACTCCAACAGAGGAGATTGGCCCACATTTCAAGGGTGAAATCTGTATAATAAGGACTGCAATATCCAATGGGGTGAGAAAAACTGCTTAATCTAGTTGTTGCCCAATCTAATAGTGTTGAGAGTTTAGACTGCTTGCTTATATTTTATTTCTTTTGGTAACTAACTCTGATATCAAACGGTAGGCAAAAAGTCACTTAAAACAGTGGTGGGCAACCTGCGGCCCATCAGGGTAATTCACTGGCAGGCCATGAGACAGTTTGTTTACATTGACTGTCCACAGGCACAGCCACTCGCAGCTCCCAGCGGCCGTTCCTGACCAATGGGAGCTGCAGGAAATGGCATGGGCCACAGGGACATGCTGGTCGCCACTTCCCACAACTCCCATTAGCTGGGAATGGCAAACCACAGCCACTGGGAGCTGCAGGCGGCCATGCCTGCGGACAGTCAATGTAAACAGTCTTGTGGCCCACCAGCGGATTACCCTGACGGGCCGTGTGCCGCCCATAGGCCGCAGGTTGCCCACCACTGACTTAGAATCTACCTTTTATAGTCAATAAATTTGTTTTACTGTTTATCTTTACCAGTGAGTTTGTATGAAGTGAGTGGCAAATCTGCTCAAGTTTGACAAAGGCTGGTGTATGTCCATTTAATGAACTGATTAATATATCTACATTGCTAATTTTGAGCAGTGCAAGACAGTATATTCCTGAGGTACAGTGCTGGGAGGATTTGACTCTGGTGCCTTTCCTCGGTGTGATTCATGAGTGGCTCTTTGAGCATTCATGCAATCTAGCTGGGTATGGGGCTCCACATTCTGTTGTGCTGAGTGATAACAGCGCCTGGAGGGGTTTGCTGCTGGTCACTAGCAAAGCATTGTGATAGACAGCCCAGGCTGGAGAGAGTTCAGGGGGCACAGCGGTCCCACAGTTCCAGGCTTCACCCCCGGGGGGATCCTATCACACCCTCTATTGCCCCTCTCGCACCCCACACCAGGATCCCACATTCTCCCCCCATTCCAGTGCCTGTGTGTACCCCCATTTCCCACCTTCCTCTCCAAGACCCTCCTATCCCCCTTTATCTCCTCTTCCCCTCATACCAAGATACCTCACTCTCCCACCTGCCAGAGACTTTAAGTGCCCCCCATTCCTCCCCATGCCAGGGAATCTATGTGCCCTCCTATTCCCTCTTCCCTCCTATGCCAGGAGTCACCCATTCACCCCTCCAAGCCCAGGACTTTGTGATCCCCTCTATTCCTCCCTATATCTGGGTCCCCTATTCTCTCCTCATACCAGGGGCTCAGGGTGCACCCCCATCATCCCCCATCCCCCCCACCATTCTTATTCTCTTATTTCTATTTCAGGGTGTCAGCAGTTTTAAACTGTATTGGCAAGTGGTCTTGGGAAGTGGTCTTATACTGGAATCTCTTAATGGCTTCTATCATGCTGTCCTTTCATCTATAGACAATTACAGAGGTGGCTGAAGATGCTTGGTCTGCTAACCAGATGTCAGATGTCCCAGGTATTTCCCCCATTTTTCACCAACATCAATAGGATTCTGCTCACTGATGCCTAGCACATTCCCTGAAAATTGGGGATTGATCAGATGGAGCATTCAAAAATTTTGCATTAGAGACAAATATCTAAACAGAGAAATACTGTTGAGTGGAATGCAAGGTCTGACAAGGTGAGCCAATTTAAGGAGCCCAATCAACCTGAAATGTAGTTCTTTTCAAAAAGTAAGATGTGTTTGGGGCCTAGCACCAGGGGCCCAAATCCTCATGTGGTGCTGCTACCACAGAACAAATAATTAATACAACTTATTAATATTTATTAACACTGGAACCTGAGTGGTTTATCAATCACTTTTTCCTACTGTTTTGCAAATGTCCTTTGTTACAGTGTGAAAGACCCACACATACTAGAGAGACTGACTGAATATACAGGGAAAACAGGGAAACAAAAGGCTGCTGACTGGGGGGGAGGGAGGTAAAAAAGTAAAAGTAAATGAGAAATGGTGGCAGATATTTACTCTCTAATTCCTTTCAGTTATTGTGATCTTAAGTGTCACTTATAACAACAGGGCATAAAACACTGTCAGGAAGACTCCAAATGCAGAGGGACTGCCAAGGTTCCACTGCACAAGGAGACAGACTGCAGAGAAGCCTTGCACTAGCTCCAATATAACATGAGGCGGATTTACTAGAGTGTGCGGGGGAAGGGACAGCAGCTTTAACAAAAACCCACTGCAGAGGAGCAACCCAGGGTCCACAGTCCTTCCTGTAGTCCAGAAGTGGGCAAACTATGGCCCGCAGGCCACATCTGGCCCGGGAGACTAGCCCCCAGCCCTTCCCCTACTGTCCCTCCTCCCCTGCAGCCTCACGTCGCTCGCTCCGCTGCCGGCGCAATGCTCTGGACAGTGGGGCTGTGAGCTCCTGGGGCGGCACAGCTGCAGAGCCCAGCCTGACGCGGTGCTTTATGCTGCGTGGTGGTGGCGGCGGCGTGGCATGGCTCCAGCCGGGCGGCGTGGCTATAGCACCGCCAGCCACCGGTGCTCCAGACAGCGCAGTAAGGGGGCACGGAGCAGGGGGAGCTGGATAGAGGGCAGGGGAGTTCGGGGTGGTGGTCGTCAGGAGGTGGGGGTGTGGATAGGAGTCAGGGTGGTTGGGGGGGGGAAACAGGGGGTTGAATGGGGGCAGTGGTCCCGGGGGAGCAGTCAGGGAAGAGGGAGAAGGGATGGGGCGGCAGGGGCAGGGGTCCCAAAGGGGCTGTCAGGGAACAGGGGCAGTTGGATGGGGCAGGAGTCCCGGGGGGGAGGGGAGCAGATAGGAGGCAGGGCCAGGCCACAACTCCCTCCCCTAACTGGCCCTCCATACAAATTTATGAAACCCAATGCAACCCTCAGGCCAAAAAGTTTGCCCGTCCCTGCTGTAGTCTGCAGTATCAGTCCAAGCAGTGACCCCTATGGTGATCTTCAGGGAACAGCAAGTGAAGGGAGAGATGACCTGATAATAGCACAGTCATAGCCAAAGAAGCAAAAACATGAGAAGCTGACACCCGTCTTTGGAATAAGCAGATATTTTCTTAAAACTGCTGATGTTTTTCATAGGTCATCCTTCCTAGTGGCTTCCTGTTCTGCAACTGTGTCTGTAGAAACACAGGCACAGAGTAAGCAGCAATAATGTTGTTGCCATATATATATTCTTCATAGTGAAAGCTGCTTTATTGCTCTGTGCTGAATCAGCAGGGTTCTGGGTTTTTCCTCTCTCTCTTTTTTTTTTTTGGTCTTTCACCAAACCACAACCTTTTGAAGACACAACCACCCCCAGTTTCCTTACACTGAGAACTCACTTCCGACTCAGCCTCTGACTTATTCTAGGTGCTGCTAGCAGCATACAACTCATTCATTCATCTTTTTTTGGGTCAAATGTGGGAGAAGAGGCAAAAGTGCTATGTGAACTAATATGAGTGAGCAATGACAAAGCAAATATGTTTAAACAGCAATTCCTGGGCATTAGCAAAACTAGAGAGAAAGCACCAATGGTACTGCGAATACATGACAAGCTTAGAACGCTCCCACATTGTGAGAAGAAACAACTGAATAGGTGAGAAATGAAGATTGGTGAATCAATAACAGTGATACTCACGCATATCACCGAAAGCCCCTTTCGTAACATTTGTGGCTTTCAATACCGTCACAGTTAATTTGTGCGAATACTGGTGTTCCACCTGGAAATCAAATGGCATGTGGTTAAACAGGAAATAAAACTCCAAAAACAGAAATAAATTGTCAAAATAGCTTTCATTTGTCCAAGGAGCAGCAAAAAGAAAAATCCCCTATTCAAAATGTAAGAGAAATGCATACAGGAAAGAACATCTTACAGCTGATGTGCACCCTTTAATTTCTTGTAGCTTTACTGAAAGTTAAGACAATGCATTACATGTAGCCTGATGTTCCTTCAGCCACTCCTACACAACAACATGTTTTTCCTCCCACACTTTTTTTTAAATTTTAGTTTCAATTAATAACACTCCTCCTCTCCAAGCTTGGTACCTGCTATGAGGCATTTAATTAGTCAATGACAGCTTACCAAGAAGTGAAAAGCTATTTTGCAAGATGTATTATTTTAGTTTGTGTTTTAACTCCCTTTCAACAATAAAAATGATACAATTATACCTAAATAATGTTGCTGAATATATATGTATATTGTGCATATACTGTATGCGTATAGTTATGCATACAGAGTGTATCTGTCCCGTATGTATCAAAATTCAGAGCATAAAGAGACCCTAGCAGAGTAACAGTGAAGAGTGAACACGAAAGTTCACCAATTCAGTTATGCTTCCAGAAGTTAGAATCTCATGCAATCTCAGGGACTTCCTGTTTTCTATCAGACTCTGAAACTTCAAGAGAAACCTCATGGTATGTCAGCACTCCCAGTGCCATAGTGCCTGAATGGAACCAGGAAGTCTAGAGACATGAAAATAGGAGGAAAAAAGCGACAGCCTTAATTTTGCTGAACCTCAAAATCTGGTTCAGGTCTGTTCTTATTTCATCCATCTAGCCCTCCAATTTGCCCATCCCTGTTATACTGTGGCACTGAAAGCTCGTTCCATATTTTATGAGCATTGTCATTGTGTATGACAATGTAGAGAACATAGAATGCATGGCCCCTGACCTAAATAATTTATAGCCCATACACATCGCATATGGGCAACAAAGCACAGGTCTGGGTGTTGGGAGACCCAAGTTCTGTTCCTGGCTCTGTCACGGACTCCAGTGTGACCTCATATAAATCACTTACATATGCCTGTGACTTATCATTATTCCTGTTTTACAGAGGGAAAGCTATGTAGCCACCTTTGTGAGGTGCATTGAGCACTACTGATGGAATACTGTATACTGCATTATTATTTTACATTTATATGGTAGTAGTGTTTAAAGACCACAATAAGGTTGGGCCCCATTGTGCTAGGCACTATACAAACTTATGATAAATGACAGTCCCTGTAAGCGCTATCATTAATTCTCTGCATTGATTTCTTAAGACAGTGACTTTCAGACGGCAAAGCTGACTAGCAAACAACTAAGTAACCGTGAGTCAGACAAAAACTCAGTAGCCAATCTCAACACATGCTCCTCCTAGCAGTCAGCAGTATGAAGCTTTGCACAACGTATTGCCAGACCGTAATGACAAAACATGAGAGAGCATTTAGAGTGACTCCAGGAGTATGTCTTCACTACAGAGTTGGCCCAGGGGATCAGCACCCAGGTTTCAGCCGCCAAGTTAGCCTAGCCTGGGTGCAAGAAGCCAAACCACAAAGCCATCCCCAAATTACTGTGTTCTCACCAGTGCTGCACTCCTCCATGTGTCTCACTAGGGCTTCTGAGGCATAACCCATAGTTCTTTGCAGCAGTAAACTGAGCTGCCCTATGATTCCTTGACAATGGATTGTGGAAAAACTTGTCTGTCCTTCTGGGCACACAGGGAATTGTGGGAGGGCATTGAAGGACCAGCAGCACTTGAATGATTTAACCAATGCCCTCACTGCAAAGTGAGGTTACCAGCCTGAGTGAAAGCAGAACCCAGGTTCTAACCCACACGTTGCGCCGTGCCAGCGAGCCCAGATTGAAAGTAACGCCAAACTCAGATGACAAAAAGAGGGTTGGTGCAACACCCACGTAAGAGCTTAGGCTAACTCTGTGGTGAAGACATACCCTAGAAGTTTTAGCATGCCCAGCGCTTTTTGCCTCCCAGGCGCCAAGGCTTAAAAGAAAAAAGAAAAAAACCAACAACTTCTCCTTATCATTTTGACATTTGCAGCTTAATCGAGCAGTTTTACAAGATAGTTGGGGAAGGGCAGGGAACACTTTTCATTACTGCCTCTCAGTTTTTGTTTGCTTCTTGATGATACTTTACAACACAGTTAATTAGTATATTCTACCTCCACAGGACTCAGGTCTGCTGAACAACCTCTGCTTCACAATGTGGTGTTTCTTTATGGATGCTCTTTTAAAGATAGGGTTATAATTAAAAGCAGCAGCCCACAATACATAAACCCACCCACAGATCTCCGCTGCTAGAGAAATTTATCTTTTTGGAGGCCATTACTCTAGAGAACCAAACACCCAGGAGCAGAGAGGAAGGATGGACATTGAAAGTCAATGGGACTTGTCTCCAACATGCTTAAGTCATTTCTGAAAATGGAACTTAACTATATAAGTCACTTAGGCCTTGCAACACTGAGCAAAGCAACTTCTAAATACCTCTAAAAACCTGGGCCTTAGACACTGAGGATAAAGTTATCAAAAGCCATTAAGTAATTTAGGAGCCTGATTCCCATGTTCAAAAGTGACATTTTTGAAGATGGGACTTAGGGGTTTGACAATTTTACCTCAATTCCTCTTTCTCCTGCAAAAACTAACTAAACCTCTCCAGTGGAAAAGCAGGGAGGAAATCACTCAATCATACAGGCCACCTGCATGGATTATATGAGTCACAGGAATTTCTGCCAGGAATATTCTCCTTCTGATGGCTCAGTCCACTCTGTTGTAAGGTCTGAGGCTTTGTTCTTTGGCTAAGCTGTAGCAGCCATATTAGGAGAGACAGCAGCCATAAACTAAAGGCAGAAAGTCACATCCTCACATTCTATCTAAATTACATTTAAACAATGTAATATCAGGTTAAGAAGGAGACCCTGTTCTAATGGCACCCACTATCACCAGATAAAGAAACAGATCTTAAGGTGGCTAAAGAAAACTTAGTTTGATCACATTCTATCTGTCAAGAAATCACTTAATAGTTGTGGTTGTGAAATCCTCGTTTCTTTATTGTTTTGTCATCATGGTCCCCACTTCCCTATTGTTTATCTGTATGGTATCTGTCTGGTTATTTAATTGTTTGTCTGTTACATAATTAATTTTGCTAGGTGTAAATTAATTAAGGTGGTGGGGTAGGGTTGTTAGAGAATTTTGTTACACTATGGTAGGATTGGTTAAAAAAAAAAAATTAGTATAATGATCAGTTAAGGTACAGCTAACCAGGACTCAAACTTCACTATATAAACTGGGGTCCAAAAGGAAGTTCGTTGGGAACCAACTTCAGGACACAGCCCCAAAGATCAGAGCTGCCAGACCTCAACACTCTGCCAATGACACTGTGCAGAAACTGGAGTCCCCCAGATGGACCTGGTCCTGATTGGCCATCAAGAAAAGTTCATCTGTCTTATTGGGAGTGGTGAGCACTGTATGTGTAGTGTGTGAATTCTGTTTTTGGTGACTGTTAATTAATAGAGGTTATGTAGTATATTACTGTGTAAGGCTCTTTCACTGGTAAAAGACCCCGTAAACCTGCAAAAGATTAAGCCCTGAATCCACAGGGAAAGGGTGTTTGCCCGGCGCCCACGGAGTAGAAAGCCCAGAGCCCACAGAGGGATAAAGTTAGGTGCTTTTCAGCTGGAGCCCTAGGAACTGGGTAAAGGTGGGTGCCCTTGAGTGTGTGAGTAACAGAATTGTGCGGGTAACACTGTGTACATACAAGCGTAGAATTGTCATGAGTACACTCACAGCCATCTCTTTGCACCTCATTCCACACACATACACACTCCTCTCCCTTTCTTGCAACCCCTAGCTTACCCTTTCCTGTCTCATCTTAATGTCTTCCTGTCCTCAATAAAAACTCTAGTTCCTCTCTTACATATGAGGCAAGTAAGTGACAATTATTCACTATTCCTTTTTTTAAAAACTAGTTTAATTACATTTCACTTTACTACCATTATCCTGCGAATCGGAACAGTGCACTCAAGTTTCATTCAAACTTTTCTGTAAAGTGAACTGGTTTTGAATAAGAATCTTCTGTGCCTGTTGAGAAATTCAAATGGTTTCATATTTTTTTAAAAAGGTGCCCATTACCATTCACGCATGGAGATGCTGAATCACATAATTTAATCTGAAGACAAGATGTAACCGTGCACAAAACATACATCAAAGCATTCTGACTTGCATCAATTGTATAACATTTTTACTTCCTTGGTACCAAATAGGAAATTTAAGCAGATAATTGGGCTAGAGAGGAAAAGGATTGTTTTGTTTAAACAACTTTTATAAAGTACATTTCCTTCTTTCAAAGGGACACTGTAAACTTTTTTTAAAAATCCACACTCAAGGCTGTACATATTTTACCTATTATTCTTTCAATCAACACCTAAACATCAATATAACTGGAGAAAGAGAAATAATTTTCCTCCCTGTAACCTAATTTCTGTGCTTCTAACAGTGCAGTGAGTTTCACTAACTTCCTGTAAACTCAATAACTCACTCAGTCAATTTCCCCTTCTATTTATGTGTGAGGCTTTCATGAAAAAGAAAAGGGACAACATTTAAAAACTAGGAAAAGATTACCCCTAAAGTTCAGGATTTTGATTATGCTTTTCTGTGAAATTTCACTTTTCAACCAAAAAGTCATGAAAATTATGTCTCATTTTAACTCCTATTAACAATGAACTATGGTTCAACAGGAGAGGAGAAATTTAACTACATTTTATTTTAAAAACTGCACTTTCCCATTATATTTCTGTCCCATGACAGCAGTCCTACCAAACTTCATTGAATCAGGGCATTAGATTATATTTCATTTAGCTGCTCAGAGAAGTTCTAAAGTATGTTCTTAATTTTAAGCACATGAGTAATCCCACTGACCTCAAGGAGCTACTCAGATACTTTAAATTGGGCATGTTTTGTTTTGTTGCAAATATCTCAAACAGCTGCATCACAGATATTTGAGCAGGTTTGACATTCCATCCAGGAGAGGACAGCGATACACATACATAGTAGCCATCCGATTACAAACAGCAATCTTCAGAGTTGGCAGGCCATTTTAAACTATTAAATAATGCTGCCTGCCAACCCGAGACTGGCATCACAACAGCCTTCACAAAGCTTCAGCATGAATAAAACACGTGCTTGACATCCGTTGGCTGCAGACTCATTTAAAGGATGTGACTATAGGGGGAAAAAACCACATAGTTGATAAGCGATCATTTCAAGGAAACATGTACTGTATTTTAGCAACTCAGAAGTTCAACATTATGACAAGTATATTGGTAACTACCTCTGAACACACTGCTTTTCCTGCTGTAATAGGTTTCCCAGAGTTACGAACAATATGTGATCTTATGAACACATCCTGCTTATGTTAGTGATTCCAGTTCAGATGGGATTTGTGATTCCATTGTTCAATGTGCAAAGTTTTAGTTATTTATAGACTAAGTTTGTAGGTGAAGTTGGAGGATTCAGTAAGGGCCTTCCCTTGACTTCAATAGACTTTGGTTCAGGTGTTAAATTATTTTCAATTTATCACGCCAGTCAAGATTGTGAGAAAAATCACTTTTAAGAGAAAGTTAAACACATTTGGTGTTGCATTTGTAGAAAATTGGTGAACGCTTCTGCTCTCAGTTCTGACAATCAATTCATGAGACTATTAATAGAGGAAATATAACTATCAAATTATCAAAGCACCATATGACTGAACTGTTTATGAGTCTTGAATCCAAAAGTCATTAAAATTATGATAATTTACAAGTAATGTCTAAGGTAATATTTGAAAAGTGCGTAGGTGACGTAGGAGCGTAAGTTCTATTTTCAAAGGCAAGTTAGGTGCAGAGGCTCCAGCTAGCCACCTGAGCTTGGACCCATCCAACCCCTGGGTCCGAGCTCAGGTGGCTAGCCAAGCCTTCACTGGTGTTGCAATGTCCATGCTGCTATTTTTAGCATGCTAGCTTGAGCCAAGCTAGTGCTAGTCTGTCTACCCAGGCTGTGAGGCTCACCTCCAGCTGCAGTGTAGACATATCCTTGGGAGCTTTGGAAAATTTTACAGAAACATCAATAATATCTATCAAATTTCATTTTAAATAAAATTCTCCTAAATCTATTCTTAATTAACCCAAACCTATACTGAGAGTCTTTCAAGTTGCATGATGATACTAACACTATACAGGTATTGCTAGTAACTGCTTGCAACAGATGATGCACAATACAACATGCATAGGAAAGTCAAATGTACTCACTGTAATGTGTTGAAATGGATCTATACAAGACATTTTTGGTTCAGATCTTATATGCAGGTATCACAATCAAAGATCTTATTCTTTATGGATCCAATTTCACAATGGACAGACTTCAACGTGTTTCCAAAGTGGACCGTAATACCACAGCTCCTTTCATCACTGCATAATGGACAAAGACCCGTGGTTAAAAATAACATTTTCCTTCTAAAACATATTTTCTAATATAGCAGAGTAACCACCTAGGTTGAAAAGGGTTCCCAAAATTCTGACTTTTAATGAAGACCTGAATTTTGAGATAAGCTGAGGATATAAAGATTTCAATCCAGTATAACCTTGATTAGCCACGTTTCTCATGTGATTCCACCCACCTCAATGCAAGTGAATGTTTTGCTCAGCTGCGGTTATCCAGAATGTCATGTATCAGTGTTTCTCATGTCCTTGCAGCCTTACAGATTAATGAAACCGTACAGTACAATTAGATATATCAGTTATGTATGTTCATATACATATACTAAGTATAAATATTATTTAAGATACTGTTCAATCATTTAGCTAACAGTTTTCTTAACGTTCGAATGCAAATTCTCAGTAGCTACTGTGTGTACATTTGGTTCCTTGTTAGAGGCCAGTTTTTGCTTTAGGCAGGTGCACAGGAGTGTGTGGAAAAAGGACATATGCAGGCCTTTCCTCGCACAGGGGGAAATGCCAGGTTGTGTCCTGCATGCACACTAGAAGGTACAAGTTGCCCCAAAAAGGGCAGAGCAAAGCTGGCCATTCAATGAGATGGCGAAGCATGCACACTCCCCTGGTGGTTCTGGATGCTCTGTGAGGCATTGTGCCTCCTGAGGAGGCAGGGCAGAAAAGGCAGGCAGTGGGGAGGAGCTGAAGAGCTAGCTTAGGAGGTAGCCAGGAGGACAATTGGATGTTTGCAGTACAAAGAATTCTGCAATTCTTTGGAGGTAATAAGTGGTTCCCATCAAGCTTCTAGCACCACCTTTGCTTTTGGCAAGCTTCAGCTCAAATCACACATTCCCAAGGTCTTATATAACCACATCTAAAAAGAGAAAAGAAATAACCAAAAATTAATGGATCACTGCAGCTATTCAGCAGCTACCTTGGGTGGCACAATATTGCTCCTTTCAAGATTTCCATTGTAACTATGAACTAGCAGCAACTGTTTTCATTGCAATTAGTGCAGAGCTCTACTCAAGTCAATAGGATGTCAATTGGGGCCATACAACCCTTCCCCTCCCCCCCAAAAAATATTCTTTATACAGAAGCACTGAGCCAAACAAAAAGAAGCTACTGTAATATGAATTTAGGAATTGCCATAGTTAGAGATTGCCAAAAGCCCTGAAGAATAGGAGTTTATATCCCTTCCAAAACTCTTGGTATATACTTTAATACTTACTGTAAGAATTTTGGACATTTTTGTTGTTTATATAAACGTTAAATCCCTTCTTTATTCCTGTTAAACTCAATAACTTGTTGCAACAAGTTATTCAATGCATTGTGTGAAAAATTAAGGTCATCTGAATCAGAAAGGCAGGGGTTAATGTAATTTCATTCATATTTTTAATGCTGAGGCAGCTCAATCGCTGGGAGAGAGGAAAGAATAATCTCTCTATAACTGAGAGGAAATATCTATTCATACTTAGTTTAATTCTAAGACCCCCCCCCCAATGCACAAATACATCTTTTCATATCCTTATTTTAATATGGACTACATTAACTGCAGTAGAAAGATCATTCAATTCATTTTTTTCATTCAGATCAATCAAATTTGTCACTGTCACACAAGTGGGCAGAATTTAACTGAAGTAGCACCCACCTACATCAGAAACATGTGTCGCCCAGTATTTCTGTCTAAGAGTCTGTTTATTTTTCCCTTGGGTCCTACCAAAAAGGAGCAGTAAAACACTTCACTGTCTCTTTAAATTAAGCCTCACTAAATTAGTTAAGGAAATGTTGTGAATTTCAAAGGAGCTCAGGAAGAGCATAAAATAAAGGGTATTCAATAACTAACCAAAAGGAAGTTTAGGAGCTATAAAACAGGGAACTTGCAGCCTTCTGAGACAGCAGCCAACTACCAACAAGTTAACATGGATCAGCAAAAAAAGACTGTACTAAAGTGAGGAAATTGGAATCAGGAAGCTGCTGTAAGTTTGAGACTTAAGAGAAGATTTTCAAAGGCACAGGCACCCATCTCCCATTGCCTTTCAATGAAAGCCAGGCACCCCTGTCTTTTATGCCTTTGAAAATCTCCCCATAACAATTCAGTCAAAAGCCTGGTCTACATTTGAAAGTTATACTGGAGTTACTAAGTTGATTCAGGGTGTAATTTTTTACCAATACAATCATACCAGTACCAACCTTAGTATGGGCACAGTTGTAATGGTATAAAGGTATCTTATACTGGTATAGCTAGTCCCATTTGCCTACAGGAAAAGCTATATTAAAGGTGGAGCTGGTAGCGTCATATTATTGAGGTTGGTTTACACTTCCCATTATAAGACCCCGTTATCAATTATTTATAATTTGGCCAAACTAACTGTTCAGGGTGAAATTTTTCGTGCTGAGTGTCTGCCCGAGTCTGACTTGTTTTAGAAAAATGTCTGCCAAAACTGTTCAGTCATTTCTGAGAACGACGCTAGGAAACAATATGTAGTTTTGCCCCTGGTCAAAACTTGTGGCAACCTTTTCCTTGAAAAATCTCTAGTGCCCTCATGCTTTGGAGCAGGAATTTGAAGGTTGGAAAGGGATCACCTTTATCCCAGGGATGTGCATTTTGCGGTCCTCATTAAAATCCACTCAAATTTGACTGGTAAGCCTTTGAAAAACTGCTGTTTTCACATGCTCAATACATCCACTCTTCTTCTCTGATGGACTGCAACTTTGTTGTGGTGGAGAGGCTTGTGTGGGCTAAAGACCCTCAGAGCTACATCATCTGGAACTTTCATATGCCAGGTAGGGTCCCCCTTGATGAGCACATCTGAGACTAATCTGATTAACCACCACTGATTAACCAAATTTCACAAGACCCAGTGGTGGATCAGGCGCATATAGAAAACCTTTTAGTACTCTACGGCTGTGAAGGTGAATGAGGGCTGCAGCAGGAGGGAGACCCCGGTTGTCTTGAATCTCCTTGACACTGGGTCAGGGTTTTCCTCCTGTCAAGTCTTGTGTGGTCACCGCCTGCGCACCGGTTTCCCCACGTTACAATATTTCACGTGCCAAAGGGCTCACACCCGACAAAGCCCTGCGGTGACGGATGGGTGGCAGTGAAGACAAAAGCAGTCATCTCTGGGAGTTTTTAGTCACAAATCTGCATGCAGGCAGCAGCCATGTGACAGTCATCTTCTGCTTGAATGAGACAGAAGTGCATTTCAGCAGCAGCGACTGACTTAGCAGGCCTTTTTAGGATCCCCTCTGCTCACCCCAAATGGGGAGGGGGCTAGAAAAGGTGCTGTAAATATAGGCCGTCTCACACTCTTCCGATTGGATGGCCACATCCAGTGGGATCACTCAACTCCGCGGCCGAAACATAAGATAAGAATGAATTTTGCCACCTGGAATGTCCCCACCCTATGGACTCTCAGCACAGTGAATGTCCAGAAAGAAGAACTGCCATAATTGCCAGCAAGCTGGCAAGACTCAACATTGACATTGAAGCTCTTAGTGAGACATGCCGAGCCGATGAGGGCCAATTAAAAGAGGATGGAGGTGGCTACACCTTTTCAAAAGGAAAGCCACCTGAAAAGAGATGCATTCACGGGATTGGCTTTGCCATCAAAAATAAAATCACCAGTCAGCTTTTGGAGCATCCCATGGGGATCAACAAGCATCTCATGACTCTTCGACAAGCTCAGCAACAACCAATATGCCATGGCCATCAGCACATATGCCCCAACACTTGATGACAAGACAAGGAAGACAAGGACCAGTTTTATAGCACTCTTGATGAAGTCCTCACAGCCACACTTAAGGTAAACAAACTTATCCTCCTGGGAGATTTCAATGCCAGAGTCAGATGGGACTCCCAACCCTGGAGCAGCAAAATAGGCAAAAGAAGGGGTGGATCATGTAAACCCCAATGGTATTCTTCTCCTTAGCAAATGTGTGGAGCATGACCTGCTCATCACAAATACCATCTTTAGGCAGAGTAACAAATTTAAGACCACATGGATACATCCTCTGTCCAAACAATGGCACCTTCCTGACTATGTCACAGTCAGAGCTCGAGATTACACCAATGTCCATATAACAAGAGCCATGAGAGGTATAGATCACTGTTGGACAGATCGTCGATTAGTAAGATCAGTCATGTATCTGCAGCTTGCTCCACCACACCGCAAACACCCAAAGACTAAGAAATCAGTATAACATCAAAGCGCTTCAGGATCAAGCCAGCTGCCAGATGGTCCAGCAATACCTGTCTGAGAAACTCTAACTTGCCTGTTAATGTCATGGACATTCAAGAGCACTGGGATCAACTTAAAAATACCATTCACAGTGCATGTGCTGAAACGATAGGACATTCCATTCATCAGCACCAAGACCGGTTTGAGGAAAACGAGGAAATCCTAGCATTAATTCAGCAGAAAAGAACTGCATTCTGTAACTGGCAAAATGATTCCTCAAAGCAACGAAAACATGAAGCTTATCACCTGCTCAAAGCTGAAGTCCAAAGGAGGCTACATGACATCAAAAATAAGTGGTGTCAAGAGAAGGCCTCTGAGATCCAGAATTTCATAGAACAGGATGACATAAGAAGCTTCTTTCAAGCAAAAAAAAAAAAAAAAAAAAGCTATATATGGGCCAATCTCTGAAGGCCCAACCCCTTTATGTTCCCAGGATGGCTCCACCCTTCTCAAGGACAATGCATCCATTAAACAACGCTGGAAGGAGCACTTTAGAGCCTACTAAATCGCCCAGTCTTTGAAGACACCAACAAGTCTATTTCACAAGGCTCGACAATGAAACACCTCTGAGGAAGTCCAGCTTGTCATCACCCAGACAAAAACCATCGCAAGGTACCAGGCCCAGATGGCATTCCAGCTGAGGTTTTTAAAGCTAGAGGAACACTGCTCCAGAATAAACTTTACCAACTTCAGCAAAATCTGGACCTGTGAAGAAATTCCACCTTACTGTATTGTAAC